TCGCAGCATGCAGCAAGATCCTATGAAAGACCTATTTGGGCGCGGTGAGCTGTGAGTGAGATAGACAATAGAGCAGCGAGACAAGATGAAATGACAAGCACCTATGAAAGACCAATTGGGTGCGGTGAGCTGAGATCGAGATAGACAAGAGAGCAGCGAGACAAGATGAAATGACAAGCACCTGCGGATGGTGCGGGCGGACAAATGGGCAAAGAAATGAGTGCATTGCATGTCAAGAAAGAAAGGAAGATGAAAAGAAAGAAAAAGAGAAGGAAAAAGAAAAAGAACTAGGCAAACCTATGAAAGACCAATTGGGCGCGGTGAGCTGAGATCGAGATAGACAAGAGAGCAGCGAGACATGATGAAATGACAAGCACCTGCGGATGGTGCGGGCGGACAAATGGGCAAAGAAATGAGTGAGGAAAGAAAAAGAAGAAATACAAGCTCGGATCTAGTGTAGGACTATGTACAACAGATGGTAAACCCTAAGTTGGATATAGACTAACTTCCGCAGCATTTCCTCCTCATAAGCCCCTTGCTGTTGTCCGCAGTGTTTGCCGTCTTGCTTCATCTTCACAGCCCCCCGTGCTTGGCAGGCAGTGCCTAGGAATTAACCGAGTGTCGAAGTTGAAGAAGTTTAAGAAAATGTTGAGTCTTGATTGGTGAAAGTGGCTTGGTCAGCAGATCGGAGAGATTGTCGTTGGTTGAGACATAGGAGACAGTGAAGTTGCTGGCTTCTTCAATGTGGTAACGAAGCCAGTGGTGCCAAACATTCATATGACGGGTCTTATGTTGGTAGATTGGATTTTTTAGGAGGGCCAGTGCACCCTGGTTGTCGCAGTAGAGATGAATGGATGGAGACGAAATAGGGAGGAAAGGATGAATGTCCTGTAGAAGCTGTTCAACCCATCGGAGATCTCTACCTGTTTCAGAACAGGCTCGATATTCCGCTTCGGTGGTTGACATCGCAGGTCCGTCGTCGTCTTGCTTGGTGCATCGCCACCCAATGGGCCCGTGGTAGAGAAGAAGACTCCCGGTGAAGGAGGCTGCTTTGACCCCGCTGGCATAGCTCGAGTCCGAGTAGCCCAGGAGTCGTTCTTTGCCGGAAACATTGCCGAGGACTAGATTGACGTGAGTAGAATATTTGAGGTAGCGACAGATATGAAGAAAATGGAGTTCTTGCGTTTTACCGGGGTTGTTAAGAAATTGGGACAGAAAGCTGCATGAGAATGCTAGATCGGGACGGGTGCATTGAACCAGGTAGTTCAGTAGTCCCACGGCCCTTCTATAGTTGAATTTTGGGCTGACGGCTGACTTGTCCATAGGGGCGGTGAGTGCATTAAGAGGCAGGGGTGCAGAGATGGGCCTACAGTCTTTCATGTTGAATTCTTCAAGGACCTCCGATATATATCGATCTTGACAGAGTGAGACTGTTCAGTTTCCACGATCCCTGGTCACTCTCATTCCTAGAACCCAGGTGCAGTCACCCAAGTCCTCCATTTCAAAGCGAGCAGTGATCTTATCCTTGAAGAATTGAACCTCAGGCCCGAAAATGACCATATTGTCGACGTGAACAAATACAAAGCATGGCTTGGCGGGGTCTTGGTGGACGAAGAGACAGGGGTCGGCGTCGGCGCTCTTGAAGTTGATCGAGATGAAGAAGTCCTTCAAGGCGCGATACCAGCATTGTGGACTTTGTTTGAGACCGTAAAGGGCTTTTTGAAGCTTGAGACCGTGTCCGGGAGGTATGTCGATGTCAACCCCGTCAGGTACTTTTATGAAGATGTCCTCGTCAGGTATGCCGTTGAGGAATGCACAGCGAACATCCATTTGCTGGATTTCCCAATCGAGAGACGCTGTGAGGCAGAGAAGTCGAAGTGTGGCTAGACGACCGGTGTGGTAAGCCAATCTTGAATAAGAGGCCCACAAAATCAAAGCCTCAAGCACAATATCAAGCCCTCTGGACAACAATACCCTCAAGCACCAAGACAAGCCCCCTCTGGAATATTCAACCAACCTGTAACACCATGGATGTCACAAGCCCAAGCCCCCTGGACAGAAACACTCTGGATTCCACATTACACTTCCTTATTACATAATCACTTCATGCAGCTTTACATCATCAATCCCCATTCAGCCTTCCACATTTGGCCTCTGCATGTGTTTCACTCTAATCCACTTTCACTCTAGTCTCATTTCCACTTTGGGCCACATTTCACTGTTTCACACTATTCTACATTGGGTATTCTGATGTCTCACACTAGTACACATTTGGCTAGTTCATTCACCTCTTCGGTATATTCTTCCTCCCTCATTGGTTGTGGCACATTTCATCCCTGCATGTCTCTGATGTCATTTTCCCCATTTATCTTAGTGCCTACCAATTGGGCCACATTGTCTCAGTTTGATATTTTTCACTCTTCCATTTTGTTCCATCCCCCTTCCACCCACAAGCTGGCCACTCCCCAGAATCTTGTATATAAGGAGCCTTGTTTTTCATGTTCATTTGTTCCCCATCAGATCCTGTCCCAGCAATTCAGATAACTGATCACCCACTATTAGCCAGGTATATGCCCATCAACATTTGGGATACCTTGATTTGTGAACAAGTATATTTTGACCAGTAGACATAAGACATATTAGACATACCTTACTCAAGAAATCTCCATAGCCACACCTATTCTTCAAGAGTTCATACTCTTGTTCTTTTCTTGTTACCTTACTCATCCTAGTTCCAGAGAGGCAGCCCATTAAAGCACTATTCCCTCTAAAGCTCTATTCATCCCAAAGAGTAGTTCCACAAGTGGTGTCCCAACAGTGGCATAACAGATCTTTAGTTTTCAGTCACTTATAAATACTAGGCTAAATATAGAGTCACAAGATTAGCTAGTTATTACCCACACCATAGAATTTAGAATTTACATACCTTATCATACCCTGTGGATACCTTCATTGGTGGATCTGCTTCAACAACATATCACTAGAACATCAGACAATTATCATAACAGTAGAAATCTCAACAAACCCTCTTACCATGGAAAACCAACCTAGAAGAAACCCCCTTTCTGGACCTACAGTAAACATGGCCAACTTAGTTATTCCACCTTGGAGAGGAAAAGTTTATCCCCCTCAATTACTCCCACTCCAGTGCTACAATTCTGCCACTACCTCTTATCAGCCACCTCCACCTCCTGAATTTTATCAGCAACCACCTGCAAATAATTTTTACCATCAACCTCCTGTGGATAATTACTACCAGCAACATCCTGAATTTTATCAGCATCCATATGCAACACCTTTTTACCACCAACCTCCTGCAAATGCCTACTATCAACAACCCCCTGCAAACAACTTACCCTTGAATCCTGGACCTATGAGACACCCTCAAGCATCTGAAAGAGAAGATTTAGACCCCTTGGAACCACAGGCACCCTTATCTACTCAAAATACTGGAAGTCATCATGGAGGACCTAAGAAAAGACAGGAGAAAACTGGATTATCCCCCACTCACCTTGGACACAAGAAAGCCCTTCCAAACCACTCTTTGGACAGAGAACCAGAAATGCCTGAATATACTGGAGCAAGAAGGAAGATAGTCAAAATCAAACCTTTGGACAAGAGACTTTTTTTTGATGGTAGCAACATGCCCATAGAAGAATTTATTAGTCAGTATGAAGAAGCTGGAAAATATGTTGGAGCAAGCTCTCAAGACTTGGCCCACCAATTCATATCATTTATCAGAGGACCAGACCTACAAGATGAAGTGGAAGAGATGTTTGGATTTGAAAACTGCAATTGGGAAACCTTGAAGAGAGAATTAATAGGAAGATTTGCAATCAAACTCACCCTGGAAGAATGTGCTAGAGAAGAATTGGTAGATTTGGTCAGCTATGTTGCAAACATGGGAGGAATCAGTACTCCAGATCACTTCAAACCATTCAGATCCCAATTTGAACAAATTGCTCACTACCTAATCATAAATGGATACAATTCCTGCATGGATGAATTTGCAAAATTATTTTGGCAATCCCTCAGCCCAAATTTGGAAAAAGCCATATCTGATCCACTTATCTGGGATGGTCACTTGGGTTTGGATGAAAATTTTCACATTGCAGAACTACCACCCTATAATATCATTCTGGAATATATTGGTATGGAGCTTGAAAAAATGGATACTCTTCAAGAAGAACCTGGTCAACCTGAACAAAAAAACCAGCAGTTCAATCAGAATTACCATACAGTAACCAACATGGAAGAATATAACTCAGAAATCCAGTCACCACTTACAGAAAATTTCCCCCCAGCACTTTCAAATTTGGAACCATGCCCCCTGATCCTGGACAATGAACCATCCCTGGAACACTTGGAAAAGGAAGAAACCAAAAACTTTGGATCAGAAACAGAAATCTTACCAGCAAAAATTCATTCAGAAATATCCTCACCATATTGTGCCTTGATTGAAGAAAATTGTTCCCCTGTAGTATCAGCAGCCATGGAATTTTCCCCCCAGCTACCTCAGAATTGTGAAGAATTGGAACCCTTGGAAAAAAATGAAAAAGAAAATCCTGGACCAGAAAGTGCCATCTGTGAAGAAAGCAGACCTACAGAGGAAGAAAAATTCTCAGAAAAAATTCATCCCCAAGAATATTTATCTTTAGATCAAGTGGAAGAAATCCCAGACAAACCTGTTCCTGAATTTGCAAAATTCCTAGAAATCCTGGAAGAGAAGTACAATGTAGAAGATGCATCAAAATTGGAAGAAACAGAAGGGAATAAATTGGGATTAGCCTTGGATTCAAACCATCAGCTTCAGTACCCCAGGAAGGATATCATGGTTTCTAACCCTGAAGGAATTGGAACTCAAGTGGAGTCAAGTCCAGGAATTAGATCAACCATTTGCTCAGAAATTTGCTTCCCACCAGAAGAAATCCCAGAAAATCTTGTGACACCTACCCCTGTGCAAAACCTTGGAGAAAAGCAAACTAGAGACAATTTTAATCAGAATTTTAGCCCTCTAGATGATTTGGACTTGAAATCAACTCTGTACCCCAGCAAAGATCAAATAGAATTCATACCTGAAGGAATTGGAACTCAAAAGGAGGCAAGTTCAGGAATTAAGCCAATTATCTCTTCAGAAGATTTTTCTCAATCAGATTTGGTCCCCTTGGATGGCCATGGAGGACAATCACTCTTGGCAGGTATAAATGAACAAAAATCCTATGGGGGGCTAAACCTCAATTTCATAACTCATCCAGAATTGACTACAAGATGTGTTGAAATCAACTTCCAAAAGGACCCTGGAAAAATAATGGAGAAAAATGTTACATTAGCCTCTGTCACAAACCACAAACAAGAATTATATCCTCCAACTCACCAAATAACCCCCCATCATCTAAATCTGGACCTCTTGGAACCCCCTGATACCAGCCAATCATGGATTGAACCCCTCCTGATTATTGAAGAAACTGGAATCCAATACTGTATCAGCATAAAAGATTCTATGAATTTCATAAAGAAGGGAGTAATAACCAACTCAAAGTTTACCTTGGAAAACATTCTGGATCAAGATTCCATTGGGTTTGTTCCATCTTTGATCATCCCAGGCCTATCTAAAGTCAGAAAGAAAATGAGGAAGAAACAAATTAGATATATCAGCATCAAGTCTTTCTCTATTGATGGAGTGCAAGACTGCTTACCTTTAGCAAGACCTCAAATTTTGAATCACACTCAGAACATCACAAGTAGTGCAATATCTCTGGTAGGCTGTGGTCGCTTCAAGGAGCAGGAGCAAGAGAAAGCAAGCACACGGTCAATTTGGTCAATGAACATGTTCAGATGGTCCATTCAAACTGGAAATGTTGCAAGAGGTTCAACAGGAGTTGTAGTTTCACTTTGCTTGGGCGATGGCGATGGCGAAATAGAAAACAGTTTGGTTTTATTATATGCCAATAGCTTTGAATTGCCAAGTCAAGCTTCATGTCTTGAAGGACCAAGAGCGGCTGAGATATCTGATTGCTTGGACCAGAAGGCAAGGAAGGTTCAATTTCATCGGACCGATCAGGAAATCAAAACAAGAGAGAAGTGGTCACTCATGCTGATAGACAGCCTTCAAACAAGACATCAAAGCCTGGTTGATGTCAAAACTTCAGATCGCTGGAAGGATCAGCAGAAAATAATCATGATCAATCCCTTGATCTCCTCAGGATGCATACCATCATCTGGTGTCTTTATGAGACTTCCAGGGACTAAGGGTTTTGAGGCGACTGGTTTTGTGTTGTTGCAATCGGACTGCTTGGCGCAAAACTTCATTACAATAAAGCACTGGACTGCATTCTATGAAGCGATTGGTTTTAATTTTCCAATTTTGTATCGATCAGCTCAGGATGTTACAAACAGGAAGAAGGGGAGAGAAAAAACAAACAAGCAATTGACCCCATCGATATTCAGTTTAAAAGATATCGAAGTTAGATTTCAGTCAAGCAGAGACAAGAGAAGAGCAGGGTATATCTTGACTATATCGACAAACGAGTTCCTCTATCCAGCTTGGTTTGACAGGAGTGAATCAAGAACTACAGTTTTCCAGGATCGCTTGGAGGGAAAGGCAAGTAAAGCAGCAAAAGCGCAGTCAGTTTTGCTGTTGTACAGTGTCAAAAAGGATCTTAAGGGGCCAGAGGATGCTCAACTTGTAGTTCGCGATAAGGAAAGAAAGACTAAAATGACAAGCAAGCGACTTACCTTACCAGAATACCTGGTTACATTGTGGATACTGGAGCCTTGGAGAAAAGCACGAGGACCGAGCAAAATCGTGGCCTTGGATCATTCAGCTTTTGAGAAGAAACGAACATCACAAAGCAGGAAGACCCGCCATAGTAGAGGGTGGGAGGAGTAGAGATTGGGATCAAAACCAAAGCTTTGAAGGCCTGATTTACAGAAGAAACCAGACCAACAATCTCAGACTTGTTTCACTGTTTGACCGTAAAACATGTTATCAACCAAGCTCTTTTCAGCTTTTCTACACTGCCTTGTCCTCTTTTCATCACCCAACTTTTTTTACAAATTCGGATTTGGACCAATACTCCAAAAACGCTTGGAGCAACTTGTCTGAATTAATAAATCTCTTAAAAAGGAACCGTTTGCATAGAAAGGAATCGGCCAACCATTTACTCAATTGTGTCAAGTACATTCTAGAAGTCTCATCAAATCTATCAAATTGGAACAGCTTGCTTACAAGTCACACATTTATATTCAAGGCATCAGCAACAGCCTTGAAAATTGGGAAGCCAAGAAAAAAAATCTGATAGCTGTCTGCATAGTCTGAAACTTGATCAAGGAAACTTTTACCAACACACAAAAAGGGGTGATTGGGGATTCCTTCCAAGACTAATTCACCTGACAGTCCACCAAAAAAAAAAAAAAAAAAAAAAAAAAAAAAAAAAACAGAAAAAGAGATGAAGATCTAATTAAAGCTCCAAGCCCCTTATCTCCAAAACATCACCCTAATTCCTTGACCTTTTCCTTCTAAAAATTCAACTTCTCTTGTCATCTGTTTCCCCCACCCCTCCCAGATGCAAATTTGGGGGTGGTTAAAAATATAAAAATCAAAAGCAAATCTCAGAATAAAGCAATAAAATCAACCAACCCCTCACCTCAAAAACAAATAACCCCCTTTTTTTTCACTACTTGCCTTCTTTTCTCTTCCCACTCTTCACCTCTCTCTCTCTTTCTCTTTGTGTTTTCTTATATCCCTGTTCATACACATTTGTACCTCATGTTTGTTCATATGTGAATTTAAGTATATCATTTTGTGCCCAATTTTGTGCTGATTCCCACTGACCCCAATTCTGTCAGTATCAAGATTGGCCCTTTGCTTTGTTTGGATGATGGGGTCATCATCTAATTTGGGGGTGGATGTGGTAAGCCAATCTTGAATAAGAGGCCCACAAAATCAAAGCCTCAAGCACAATATCAAGCCCTCTGGACAACAATACCCTCAAGCACCAAGACAAGCCCCCTCTGGAATATTCAACCAACCTGTAACACCATGGATGTCACAAGCCCAAGCCCCCTGGACAGAAACACTCTGGATTCCACATTACACTTCCTTATTACATAATCACTTCATGCAGCTTTACATCATCAATCCCCATTCAGCCTTCCACATTTGGCCTCTGCATGTGTTTCACTCTAATCCACTTTCACTCTAGTCTCATTTCCACTTTGGGCCACATTTCACTGTTTCACACTATTCTACATTGGGTATTCTGATGTCTCACACTAGTACACATTTGGCTAGTTCATTCACCTCTTCGGTATATTCTTCCTCCCTCATTGGTTGTGGCACATTTCATCCCTGCATGTCTCTGATGTCATTTTCCCCATTTATCTTAGTGCCTACCAATTGGGCCACATTGTCTCAGTTTGATATTTTTCACTCTTCCATTTTGTTCCATCCCCCTTCCACCCACAAGCTGGCCACTCCCCAGAATCTTGTATATAAGGAGCCTTGTTTTTCATGTTCATTTGTTCCCCATCAGATCCTGTCCCAGCAATTCAGATAACTGATCACCCACTATTAGCCAGGTATATGCCCATCAACATTTGGGATACCTTGATTTGTGAACAAGTATATTTTGACCAGTAGACATAAGACATATTAGACATACCTTACTCAAGAAATCTCCATAGCCACACCTATTCTTCAAGAGTCCATACTCTTGTTCTTTTCTTGTTACCTTACTAATCCTAGTTCCAGAGAGGCAGCCCATTAAAGCACTATTCCCTCTAAAGCTCTATTCATCCCAAAGAGTAGTTCCACACCGGTGGGAGCAAAAGTGTCGTTGTAGTTGAGACCTTCGGTTTGTTGAAAGCCCCTAACACAAAGACGTGCTTTGTATTTGAGCAACTCGCCGTCGGCGTCAAATTTTCTCTTGAAGACCCACACGGTGTCCAATTGTTTGGTGCCCGGAACAAGGGGTGCTACAACCCAGACTTCATGCCTCTTGATGTTGTTGACCTCAGTTTTGATGGCAACCAGCCATTCGTCACCGTCAAGTCAACCTATAGCTTGAGCATAGTTGATGGGGTCCTTTAGGGAAGATGGTTCGCCGACGATGAGCATGGCCATGTGACGGCGGCCACCAGCAACAATGTTCGAGGGGTCAATGTCACTCGAGATGTTTTTGGGGGCGGTGTCGTAGAACGGGACGTAGGCGTAACCTTTATTCGCCGTCGTTGCTATCGAGGAATCATGGTCGGATGAACCAGGGTTGTTGTGTGATCGGTGTGGATCAGAGGTAGAGGCCTCGTTGGTGCCAGCCAAGTTGGAGGAAGTCTCATTTGGCGTGGTTTCCTCAGGGGTAGTGTCAGTGTGTTGTGGATCAGGGTCCAAGCGGTTCTCAGTCTGGTCGCTGTCCGATTCAGGGGTATCGGCAGGATCGGGTTGATCGAGTTGTTCAGATGATTCTTGGGGAGAGGAGACGATTGTTGGTAGACCAAAATCGTAGAGCGATTTCTCGGTGACCGGTTCACTAATGGGAGATTGTAAGGGAAAGATGTGAGGAAAAGGTTTGATATGATGTGATACTTTTATGACATCCTTCGATGGCACCCACAATTTGTACGAGTGATGACCCTCGTGGTATCCCAAAAATATCGCCTCGACTCCGGAGGGAAGAAGTTTGGAGTTCCGAAATTTTCGTTCCTCGTAGAGAACAACACGGCAACCGAAAGGAATTAGCCGAGTCAGATCTGGGCTTTTGTTATGCCACAGCTCGTAGGGAGCAACCCAATTGATGGAGCTGTCCGGTGTTCGATTTTCCAAGTAGACTGCCGTGGTTACAGCATCTCCCCACCATGACAGACTGAGTCCACTGGTGAGTAAGAGTGTTCGGGCTTTCTCTATTGTTGTTCGATTACCGCGTTCCGCGAATGGGTTTTGTTGAGGTGTGTAGGGAGCAGTAGTGTGATGGATAATGCCCTTGTCTTCAAACAGTTTGTTGAATTGTTTGTTAACGAATTTGCCTCCGTTGTCGGACACTACAGATTTGAGCCGGCGGTTGGTGGAAGTTTCTACTTGGTTGAGGAAAGCGACAAAGAGATGAAATGTCTGAGACTTACAGCGCATGGGGTATATAAATCGGAACTTGCTGAAGCCATCAATGATCTTCAGGAAGTATTGATTGCCACCCCTTGACGCTGGGTTGATTGGTCCGCAGAGATCCATGTGAATGCAGTCAAGGACGGCGGTTGGAGTGGGGAAGGAGCCAGAAAAGGGTTGTCTATGCATTTTAGAAAGATCGCAGGCGTCACATTCCAGATTGCTGATTTTCACATCAGGGTAAGCCTTTTTCAGATAGTTGATGCTGGGGTGTCCGAGGGCCCTATGAAGTGTTAGAGCAGGATTGGGATTCACACTGAGCGCTTTGAGAGGATTCAGGTCAATGAGAAGTACGTTTGCGGTGGTTGTCCCCGAGAAGATAGCTCCTTTGTCAGACTGACATGCGAAGCGGGACCCGTTGTGAGTAGGTACCAGTGAGAAACCCTTTTTGAGATAGTGGGTTAGTGGTACGAGAGAATTGGTGAGATCGGGATAGAGATCGTTCCGTGGTACCCTTTGCTAGGTACCTAGTACCGCTTGGGGGGTACCCTTCACACCCGCCCCACACCCGTCGGGAGGTGCCAGGTGCGGTACTTGGTACCTATTTTTGTGAAAAATTGAACAGGTACCTAGGTACTGCTACAGGTACCCCCTCACTTCCCTACCAAAATGACGGTGGACTTCTACTCCAAGAACTCCAAGAAGGTACCTTGGCTACATGGAAACAGGGACTCAAGGATAACAAGAAGTCTAACCAAAAATCAAAAAGGAAGGTGATAGTTTTGGACAACAATGAAGATTCTTCTAATAATCTAATTAGATATAATTTGTAGACAGTTTAAGCTTTAAAATAAATTATTAAATATGAACAAATGAAAAAATTGACTTGGGATTGATGTTTTACAATAAATAGGAAACAAGGCAAGATTCTTCCCATTAGATGTAGATACTTGACAACAAATATGAAAAAAATGCCAAAAAAGTGACTTGAGTAATATTTTACAATAAATATGAAAATAATAATAATAATGAAGTAAGGTTCTTCCAATTAGTTCAAGATGTCTTACAACAAATATGACAAAAGGAAAAACAGTGACTTGGGAATGATATTTTCAATAAATATGAAGATATAATAACAAAGTAGGATTCTTCCAATTTGTTGTCAACATTTCACAATAAATATGAAAGAATGGAAAAAAAGTGACTTGGGACTGATATTTTACAATAAATATGAAAAAAATGATAATAAAAAAGTGACTTGGTAATCTGAAAGTGAACCTAGGTTAGAAAGAGAGGGGAGGTACCCGCGGTACCCGCCAAAAGTACCGCCGGTACCAGCTGGGAGGTGCCTGGTGCGGTACTTGGTACCTATTTTTTGAAAAAATTTAACAGGTACCTAGGTACCAACAGGTACCCGAGTACGAACGAACGATCTCTAGATCGGGAGCTAAGTAGGCTTCGGCGATTTCTAGCGGTCCGGAAGCAGTGTGGATCACTGCTTTGCCCACCCCTACGATGGGAATGGAGGCTCCATTAGCCCCAAAAACGGCTGAGTCGATGGGCGTGAAGGTATTGAAATATTCCTTCTTCCGGAGATAGTGCCCGGAGGCTCCGCTGTCCAGTACGATGGCATCCGTCACAGCTCGGTTAACGCTGAGTCCTGACTTGGGGTTGATACCGGCTCCGTTGATACGGTCCAAGGCTGCCTGGTGATAGGCGATGGCTAGCTCAGGATGTAGTTGATGGCAATTTTCTGCCGAGTGGCTTGTCTCAGGGTTGTGGACCCCATTTTCACAGACTCTTCGTTTGCGACGTTGTCCGTTGTTGCCCTGTTTGGGTTGGTTTGATTTGACCTGGTTTTTGGTCACCGCAAGTGCATTGGCCGTTGCTGTTGGCTCGGCTTGTCGTAAGAGTTCACGTTCCAGCTCGCTAAGGAAGGTGCTCATGGAGAAAGTGGCCTTGGAGTCGCCGAAAACAGAGAACTTTAGGGTTTTGAATAGAGCCAGCGAGGTCGGGAGTTTGATCAGGATCCAGAAAATCCAGAGCGCTTCTACAGTCGTTTTGTCAAACTTTTTGGCAGTTACTTCAATGAATAATTGGAAAGTCGATCGAAAATCCTTGATGGTGGAAAAGGTATCTCCGACTGAGAAGTCATAAGTCGTTAACTTCTCCATGATCTTGGCCGCGTTCTCTAATGATTTGGTGGCGTAGTGTTGGCAGATGGAGTCCCACAGCTCTTTGGGCTTGTATTCTTCAAGGTCATCGTCGACGAATCTGGAGAAATTCTCCCCGTCTAGGTGCATGCGGATGAGGTTGGTGGTTTGTTTTGCCTTCTCATCGTAATCAGTTTTAGAGGTTATCTTATCCTTTTCCTTTAGAATGTATTGGTCTAGGTTAAGATAACTGAGAGCAGTGAACATCTCACGTCGCCATGTGGCAAAGTTCTCGGTGTTGAGCTTCTCGGTGAAGTGTTTGAAGGAGTGACCGGTAGTGGCCGAGTCAGTCATGGTGTAGGAGGGTTTGGAGATTGGTGGTGAGGGTGATTTTGGGATGAGTTTATCTTGGAGGCGGATGGTGTCTCCCGTCGAATCGGTGGCTTCGGAGATGGTGGAGGAAGTATCTGATTTCCCGTCTCCTGGTTTGCTTAGAGACGAACTGGATTCAGATGTGGTTGGATCCACTTCCGGAGTTGATGACGTTTTATCGGCCACTATGGCAACGTTGATCTTCAGCTGGGTTGGTCAGGCTAGACAGCGTTAATTGAGCGCTGGGCTCATAACCTATGAAAGACCAATTGGGCGCGGTGAGCTGAGATCGAGATAGACAAGAGAGCAGCGAGACAAGATGAAATGACAAGCACCTATGAAAGACCAATTGGGCGCGGTGAGCTGAGATCAAGATAGACAAGAGAGCAGCGAGACAAGATGAAATGACAAGCACCTGCGGATGGTGCGGGCGGACAAATGGGCAAAGAAATGAGTGCATTGCATGTCAAGAAAGAAAGGAAGATGAAAAGAAAGAAAAAGAGAAGGAAAAAGAAAAAGAACTAGGCAAACCTATGAAAGACCAATTGGGCGCGGTGAGCTGAGATCGAGATAGACAAGAGAGCAGCGAGACAAGATGAAATGACAAGCACCTGCGGATGGTGCGGGCGGACAAATGGGCAAAGAAATGAGTGAGGAAAGAAAAAGAAGAAATACAAGCTCGGATCTAGTGTAGGACTATGTACAACAGATGGTATTCCCTAAGTTGGATATAGACTAACTCCGCAGCAT